ACGCTTAGGTGCCTTATAATTTTAAGAAAAGCAGAGGATCAGAATTTTGGCTTAAATAAGCTCCGGTCATTTGATGTTCTGCTTCACTCTGTAACTCTGCAGGTGGCTGGTCCTCGACTTGATGAACCAGGAGGAGATTTTTGAATCCACAGATGGAAACGAACAGCTGTCAGTCATGAGATATTCTCCAGGTAAAGCACGTGTCGCACTTTAGATGTCATTCATGTCTGGTTTTACAGTGTTTAATTAATACCGCTGTGTTTCATAGATCATTAATAGTTATTTTACCTGTCAAACCTCTACAGGCATCGATTATTTTAGTGTATTTTATTCTGTAAACAGAATAAAATACACTACTTTATCCAAAATATTCTACTTTATCCAAACATCATCAAACTAGAAGGCCTCCTTTAATTGCTGCCCTTCCAGATTTAGAATTAATTTTTATTTAATTTTTTTCATTAATAATTAATTTTCAGTGGTAAAGCCAAAGTCTCACCACTGAAAAATATGGAGGGTTAATGCAGACAAAATCAATCCTTAAATCTATCATGGAATAAATAGATAAAAATTAACAATTAAATTTAAAAATAAACATTTATACATGTATGATTGAATACATTAAATGTTAAAATATGGAAGGTTAAAGAGAACAAAATAGATATTTTAAAAGAACATGAAATAAATAAAATGAACAATGAAATAAAAAACATTTATGCATGCATGATTAAATACATTAAATGTTAAAATAAAAAAATTAAATAAATAATTAAAAAATGAATACATGCAAATGAACAATAAAATAAAAAAAATAGCAATTATATATGTATATAAGGAAATCAGTAGATGTAAAATTATGGAGGGTTAGAGGGAACAAAATAGAATAAATAATTTAAAATAACATGAAATAAATAGATATAAATTAACAATAAAATAAAATGAATAATTAAAAAACATGAAATGAATACATGTAAATGAACAGTAAAATTAAAAATTTGCATTTATATATGTATATAATTAAATCAGTAGATGTAAAATTATGGAGGGTTAGAGGGAACAAAATAAAATAAATTATTTAAAATAACATAAAATGAGTATGTGTACATTAAAAAACGAAGAAAAGAATTGTACCATTTATTTATTGAATAAACATAAAATAATTATTTTCCCCCTCCCAACTTGAGCCTTCAAGTCCAGTGGGCGGGAACAAGGCAGCTCCTGTAGAGACCCTGACATCTGATTGGCTGCTTTAGACGACAAGACAAGACAGCTTCCTTAGTTTAGCTATGAGGTCAACAGTTGGCTGGCAAATACTAAAGTAACTATTGGAACCTGATTATCACAAACCGGGTGAGAAACTTCAGCATCTAAGTCTCTCCTTTGGTCTGAAATATCTCCAATAATCTCATTAGAGAGAGTTATCTGGTGTATGTTAGTGGGCGGGGCTAATGGTGAGCCTTCGCCACACATGGAGCTCTCTCTGGAATTTTTATTTAAAGCCAAACGATGTTGAGGCTGAGTTATTAGCCCGATGTTTGCGGGAAACAAAATGCTAATTATTAAATTATTATTTCCACATTTTTCATCCAAAATGTTGACCTTACCGTCACAGCGATGTGGGATGAAATTGTCAAGCAGTCGTCTCCATGGAAACATCATTTTATGAGTCTAGGATGATAGCATAGAAACCACGAAAATAGAAAATAAATAAAACTATCTTTAACTTTTTATGACATCTAGTTTAGAAAAAACAAATAAAATAAAACACAAAAAATTATTTAGACATTTAAAAACAATTGATTTAAAAAAAATTAATAAATAAAAAGATTCAAATATGGAGGAAAAAAATAACATTTTGACCGATATTGTTTTTTTTTTCTTCCATAATAGCATGAAGGCCACCAAATTAAATAAATACAAATAATTAAAATTATCTTTAAATTTTTATGACTTTTAGATATTTAGTGTAAAAAAAAAAAGATGAAACAAAAAAGTTATTTAGACTTTAAAAAACAAAAAAACTAAACCTAATTATTTAAAAACTGAATATAAAAGATTTGAATCTGGAGAAAAAATCTCATTTTGACTGATATAAAGGTTTTTTTTTAATAATAGTATAATAGCATGGAAGGCATGAAAATAAATAAACAAATTCAAATAATAGAAAATATTTTTAACTATCACATTTATTTATTTAATGGTTAATTTCATTGTTTAACTGTTTATACCCTACAAATAAATGGTACATTTATAATTTGATGGGACATTTATTTATTTGTTTTTATCCTCTTTAGCCCTCCATAGAAACATGACCTGACTCTGATTATTTCCTCATCCGACCATCTTCCTCTCTTTGCAGTAGGTTTATTTTGGAGAGCTGAAAGATGGACGATGTCCATTTGCACTGAAAGGCAGCTGTTGTGACGCTAAAGATGGATGCTGGTATTTCCGATAAAAAATAGCAGCACCGCATCAGTAACATTATCAAACATTTGCTGGAAAACTATGGAAGTAAATCTGTGTCGCTGGGATTTGAATTAAAAATGCCGCTGAAATTTAAATGTTGTATGTTTGTATTTACTGTTTCAGTGTTAAAATATATTCAGAACACATTTTAGACCTAAAAAAAAATCATTGTCATTATTTCTACACAGTTTAAATTTCATTTGTTATTTTCTCTTCAAGCTAAAAATTCACATTACTATTTCAAAGTGATTACATTTTCAATACTTATTTTTTAGTGTTAAACAAATCAGCATATAAAAAAATTCAACCTTTCAAAATTCAGACTCAATATTTTCATCCTCCTGAGATTCAACCGGCTCTATTTCACCGTCTTAAATTCGGCGTCTAAATTCAGTGTAAAAAGGGAAGGGTTACTTCAGGTCACAGACATTAGCAATGGATTGTGGCGTCCAACACCCAGCCAATCCCGTTACGGTTTCTTAGTCACCTGACGTGACGCTTGTGGCGCTCATACTGTAGGTAAACCAGCATGACGGAGCCGGTCATGCAAGCTAACGCTAGCTCAACTACAGAAAAAATGAAAGTAATAAACTCACCGTTGAGTTAGCGTTAGCTTGCATGACCGGCTCCGTGATGCTGGTTTTCCTTCAGTATGAACGCCGCAAGCGTCACGTGACTAAGAAAACGTAACGGGATTGGCTGGGTGTTGGACGCTAGCCTGACGTAGTCCGACTCAATTCTAGTCAGAATGAGTCTGATGCTGCTCCATAGAGCTGTGATTATGGGGCGTGTTTCAAGCGAACCAGGAAAAAAAATGCCTCTGCACTCAATTGGATAGCCCTACAACCAATAAGA